GATTCTATGAAAAAACCCTCTATCCTCACCAAACCTCCCCCTTTATAATGAGGCTGACATTTATGAGATGAGATACACCTGTAGCCAACCCAGGTCAGCTGCCCCAGCTGACTCCAAACTGCTAACAGTCTGCAGACCATGCCTGGCCTGGGATGCTACCCCAGCAAAACCAGGACACCTTCCTCCATGTTTGCCAGCTTCCTCTCTGTTTTTTCGTCTATTTTCTGTTAGCTCCTGTACTTTACCTTTCTATTCTCTACCTTTTATTTCTTTACATTGAAAGGAAATACATAGATGAAAAAAAAAAATCTCTTCTCCTCCCTGTTTCACCTATTATTTTCTTAGAGTTTTTATTGCCTGTCTAAATATTTTTGGCCATGTTGCTGATGAATCCCACCTCACTTCCTACAAAAGCAAAGTAATTCAAGCAAACAGAAGGCCTGAGTCCTCCATGCAATCTCCTTCCCTATCTGATGTAGGTGTGCAAATCCAGAGTATCTATTTTCTGGATGTCTTAGAAGAGGAGTCAATCAAGAAGAGGAAATAAAGTTTTATGCACAAAATCTTCATGCTAATTCTTAAGAAGAGTAAGTACTCAACTTACCTACCATCAGTGCTACTTGAAAAGTTTCTTAGTGTATGTCATAGTGTCTGCACACAATTACTACTGAAACAAACCAAACATTTTCATAAAATGGACACATTAACCATGATATTTTTCGAGGCCAACATAAGGTGCACTGATGTATAAAAATTCTATTTATATGTGGCAATACATAGCAGGATTTGGTCTGAGGAATACCAAAGTATAGCCCTGTTACATGAGAAATCCAGGGAATATTAGTACAAGCAAGGAGAAAAACAAATTAAAAAAGATGTGCCTCACCGTTTCCTTTGCAACAACATATTTTAATTGATATAATCTATATCCTCAATGGATTCAGGTTATAACCAGGGCATTATTAAAGACTTACAGTTAATCTGATAAACAGTACAATGTAGCTTTTTTTAAAAACAGCATCTCCTGGGTTTTAGTGATTTATCAAATTAATCTTGCAGGGACTTCCTTTGGGTATAATGGATTCAGAATTCATGGTCCATCTGTATTTCTATATGAACCCTCTTTATTTCCAATAGATGCTTTTCAAACTGTTAACCCCTGCTGTTCTGGTTATAGAATATTACGTGTGTAAATAAAAAGATATGAAAAATTTGTTTTTCAGGATAAAATTTTTTTACTACTCCATCACTAAATTACACCCTTACTGATATCTCAGCAAAGTAGTAAGTAAGACTTAGTCATGGACTCGACTCTTTGGTCTCTATGTATCCTATCATTACATAACATGCTTTTATATTTAGCTTAGTGTTTAAGAATGCTGAAGAACAGCAGGTGACTGACTTAATGTTGGAACGCATAAATGATACAAGCAGAAAAAACTTTGTATTTGGTAGAAGATAAATTAAAACTTTAGGGAGATTTCTGGTTTAACCAATTGGGATTATCAAAATAAATACCCACAATAAAATACATTGGTTTTATAACCATGAAAGAGATTACCCAAAGGTTTGCATACCAGCAGCTTTCAAGTGACCTAAGCACCACAGTCTCATATTTTAGTGCAGTCAAAGCCTGCTGTGGGTTAGCCTTCATCTCACTGACCTTTCGATGCTCTTGCAGATTTGTTGCTGAGGAACATTTCTTATTGCACACGGAACACATCAGCTTCTTCCTAGAATTTCCTGAAACAGAAACAAAATACCACCAACATCTTTAAAAGGAAGTGCTAAGAAACAGTCTAAATATTTCCACTGAGTCTGTGACTTTTCACAGGTCATTTGACTGACATAAGATTTTACATTTGTATCCCATCTTCAAAGTGTTCCATATCAGGAGTTCTCAGTGGTTGTCCAACAAACCAGTTACTGATGGAATGTAAATCAAGAGAACTAGAACAATGAAGAAAAAAACTTTTCAAATAGATGTTATCACACCTCACAATCCAATATAAGGAGCACAGTTCAAAAATAAGGGCAACTCACTTTATAACTGAACAGCTGACTTCTTCCAGAAGTCAATACAAGAGTTCGTTTGGGATCTTGTTTTGTCATTGCTACACTAAGTAGTCAAAACCACCATTTCCCATTTTTCTTTATTCAGAAAGCATTAAGCATTCTATTATATAAAATAATATATCATTAATGGTCTTTAACTGAACAAGACAGGGAAACTAGAACCAGACCATAAATTCTCATCTAAAATGTTTTGGTTTTTTTTTTTTTCCAAAACAAGCTACAGGTCAGCTACCAGACATAGTTTCCTTCCCTTTTCACAGTGGCTTTAGAAAGTGACAGAATATTTAATTGTTTTTATCTATTATTTACCTTTTGATATTCATTTTAGTAACCCACAAAACTATTTTATTGCAAGACAAAGCTACCACAAAACTAATTCTTTGTTTATAATTACATTCCCATACAAGGTATTTCCTATCTTATGTAAAAAATATTCACATTACATTGAACAATAAAAAGAAAGGATACAGAACAAAAAAGGGAAGGTACTGCTTAGTCAAACACAGAGGAAGTAAGAATTATAAATAAATTCATTAGATAACTTCTAGCTCAATTTTTCAGACTCTCAGCATCCTTTATCTTTCCTGCTCTTGCTCTCTTAAAGAATTAGTATTATGTTGATTCTTCTTAATACAACATACCCTGTCAATTGATTGGTTCAATACCTAAATTTGTAGCAGACAAAAAACAAATCTCACACATGCATTTGCTGTTATAAAACTTCTGAGAAATATTTAAATATACTGATATTGACATAAATTAAGGAATACACTTAGTACTTCAGCTTACAAGAACATTAATGAGACTTTCTCGTAAGAGAGAAAGGTGAGAGTATGTGTTCATAGCTTTTCATAGCAGGTAACGTGTGACAATCCTTTCTCCTTTCCATTTCTAGAAGTGTCCATCACACAGTAGTACATTATTTTCTTTCCTGCACTGACACCAGTCATGATTTCTACGAGTCCCAAGTGGCAAAATAAAAGTTCTGTTCACTGTGCAGGCACAGCAAAAATACCCTCCAGGCACTTGCTCTCAGTCATGTCTGGAGTGGTCATTCAAAAGAATTGTGGATTTTGTATACCACTACCTAGCTAACCAAAGCTGAGCCTAAGCATAATGAGGCTCATGGCTGAAAAAAATTCTTACTGCTTCTTACTGAAAAAAGATTATAATATTTTCTAAGAGTGGTTATGGAAGGGTTTCTGTAGACTGTAAGAGTTTGGCAGAAGAAAAGAGAGTTCATGTTATGAGAACTTACAAAGCATCTCAGTGTTGTCACCATCAACTGAGGAATGTTTTCTTTGCACTCTGGTATTGGGCTGTCCCCACACACACTGATCTGCCATTGACAGTGTGAGGGGACATGCAGAGAGAGCAGAATGCCAGAACTGAGAACTGCTTTGTGGGCTTGAGAGCAGTATTTTGCCCTTTCATGAAAACAGAGTGAAGTCTCGTTGAAACTATTGATTAACAGTGCACAGATAGAAAAACACTAGGGCCTAATGGGACCAGTGGATTGTCTGGTCTGGCTTTCTGCACAACAGAGGCTATAGAATTTTATGCAATACCCTCATCAGGCCTAATCATTTGTGAAGCATGTCTTCCAGAAAGACATCCCATTGTGTCCTGAAAATACCAAAAGATCAAGAACTTGCCACTTCCTGTAGCAGTTTGTGCTAGTGGATAATTTTCCTCACTACTGAAATGTTTTACTTCACCTATTATTTGCCTAGTTTAAACTTCCCCAGACTCCTATTCCATTTTCTGCAGTAGACTAATGATTCATCTGGTATACAGCAATTTCTCCCTAGGGGAGCAGGGATAGTTACTCTTGCAATTAGTTAACTTCTTAATTTTCTCTTTGATACAAATGAATTCATTAGATACCAAAGACAATGTTTACTCTGATTTGCAGATTTAAGGCTAGGAACACGTTAGGTTTTTTTTTCCAAAAAATATCATTAAACTCTTGCTTACCACTGTGAACATTTTCTTTATGTTTTTTCAGGGCATCCTTACTCTTGAACCTCTTTCCACAGCTATCTGCCTTGCATATGAATCTGGCATCCCCTCTACATGCTTCCTTGTGCTGTTCATAACTATATGGGATAACCAGTTTAAAAAACAAAACAAAACACAAAAACAAACAAACAAAAGAAGCTACACATCAAGCAGCATCTACAGAAACCAGACAAATAACAGGTATACTCTGAGCTTAATGCATGCTGCACTGCAGAGTTCCAAGGCCACCTCATGCATTACTTACAGCGAATAGGAATGAAAGCATTTGACTCCTTTCACTGTTAGGGTTCACATACACTAGCAAGCGTGTGAGCTAACATGCAAAGGGAGGCCAGCAATGATATGACAGCAGTCCAGTAACTCAGACACAAAACCTCGACTCTGAGCTGAAGGAAATATTGCAAACAGAGCACTGAAAACTTCTTGAAGAGTCTCCTGGGCTGGTATTCTCTGTGCACTGAAGTACACTAAAGAAAAAAATAAACAAATAAAACAAAATCAGGGCAACATTCTACAGCTTAGACAGGCTTGTAGTAGCTAAAAACTTATATGCAGCTCTACAAATCTTCAAGTAGGTGAGTAATCTATTTTATATGTGAAGTCTCCTGGAATTTAGTGGGATTGATCAAATACATCTAGCAAAAAACATAAACAACACAAGAAAAACAGTTACGCTTTAGTACAAAAGTATAACTGCAAGGTATATGACTTAAGTGACAAAACTGCATATTTAAACTATCAAGGACAGTACATCTCTTAAATCTCTTAAATGCTCTTAAATCTCACATCTTTCATGTTTCTACTAGGGTTTTTTTATCGATTACCCAAATATTTAATTAAGTAAACATGAAGCGTTTCTCTTTTTCTGTCCTAGACCACCGTTTACTTTCTTCTAAGTCCTACTTGAGTTCTGTAATGACATCCACACCTCAAAAATGACATCTCCTGAACTACTGAATAGTCCACTGATAGAGACCAATGGTTTTGCACTAAACAGCAGCTCTGAACTGGTCTACAGTGTATGATTTTAAAACGTAAAAAAAACAGTGACGTATCTGTGATTCAAATTGAAGTCTACAACAAATACAAAAAATTTATGTATTAAAAGGCTACTGTAAAGTGTAAGGGTACTTATCAATAAGCATATAAAGTAAAGCTTTAATTGTGACTAAGCCAAAAGTTATAAATGATTTAATTAAATGTATAAAAAAAAAAAAAAAAAAAAAGAGACACTCCTGGTTCCTACTCACTGTCTTTGTAGAGCTTGTTTGACAGGGAATTTTTTTCCACAGTTTCGGCACTTGAATTCCTTTTCCTCACTGGGTTTTTGGTGCAAAGTCTGAAGATGTTCCGCTAGAATCTCCTGGCTGGCAAAACTGGATTCACAGTTTGGACATGCATGGTCCTCTTTGCAGGTAAGGAGATCTGCATGATCGGAGGCAAAACCAGTAAAGCAATAGTTTTCAGGGAGTATTTTTGTTACATTAAGATATAATGTCAGGAATAGATCATGCAAAATGGCATCACAAAATTCACAGAAGACATTGTCTCTGAATGGATTATAAACAGCCTATCTTGAGTGGATTACCATTGAAAATGGATATGAAGTATTAGGTTGGGTGTGACTTAGGCTGTTAGCCTAAATTAGTCATCCAGGTTGTCTCTACTTTGATGAAGATGCTGAGAAATCACCAGACAACTCAGGTTATCTACTTTCTTAGATATCTTACCTTAGGACTGCCTGAATGGTTTTATGAAAAGGTTTTTTCTCTCCCATCTACATAAGAAGAAAACCACCTCTCTCAGAGCTAAGACTTAGCTTCTGTAAGACCATATTACAGGTGAAATTAACTCCATCTTGAGATCAAGCATTAATGGTAACTTGTCATGGAATCTAAGCTCACTCATTCATTAATTCACAGGACTGGCTGCTCCTTACCAGGCAAAAAAAGAACTTCAACTCAAACCAAAATAAAGACATAATCATACAAGAGCACAGACTAAACCTGGGTTTAGCTGGAAGGCTCCCCAACCCTATACAGTTAGTGTTCTTTTTTGTTAGTACTTTTAAGTTCTCAGCTTATCCTATTTTTTTACATATTGCTCACCTGCAATTTTTTCACCAGCTGGCTGTGCTTCTTTATTGTTGCCACTATCTTCATCTTCCTGGATAACAGTTACTTCTTCTTCCTCCTCCTCCTCTTCTTCCATGTCACTATCCAAGTACCCAATCAGAAGTTCTGTGTCTGTTTCGATATCTTCCACAGCCAGATAGAAAATATTTTCCCCTTCCTGTTACAAATGGGAAGTAGAAGCAATTAATAATTACATCAGAGAAAGTAAAATGTAAAGACAAGTATGAGACCCTGAACTGTTGTTAGTCCTCAACTATGGAAGGGCTGGCTTCAATCCTTAGGGAGCACAATGGAGAACCCTTCCAAGACTTCTTTCCCAGTGTTGCTGCATGGATAAAGTACACTTGTAATCTGCTAGTCTGGAAATACTCCCCCACCTGAACTGTGAGGCTTTTCCAACATACACTGTAGCCTAGACCAAGGTGAAGGTGGTGTAAAGAGAACACAGTTAATGACAAAGTCCAGTCACCAAGTACATCATGCAGGTGTATGCCTGGAAGCACAAAACTCAGCACTGGTGAGGTGCTAAGCACTGGGCAGTGTGGCGACCATCCCCAGATCGATATCTGGTGTTATCTGGGTGCCCGGAGGATCGTGAAACGGGGCAGAGGCCTCATGGTCCCAGTCTTCTGATGGCTTAGCTAAAAACAAAGGAGCCACTACCCCCCACCCATGCAGGTGTAAATCAACGGACTTTGCGGCATTAACTGAAGCGATAAGATTGTCTATAGTCATCCCCACCCACACGTACACACCGGTGATGCAATGTAAAAAACTCAAGTATAAATATCACCCCAATGTCGGCCCCAAAACTGGGACAGGGTCGACTCGGAACCACAGCGATGACAGGAGGGACTGACGAATTCGCTCCTTCGCCATCCCCCCCACTTTGGACGCCGTGTGGGTAAGCTTATTTACCTCAGCCAATGCTGAGAGACAGACTTTTTCTCCCCAGGTGTATTCATATTTTTCTCCTCAGGTGCATTTCTATGCTTCATCCTGAGTGCACCCTTGATTATTGTCGCAACTTTACTGTGTCTTGGTCTGTTGTGTTTTCTGTCCATCAGGCTTGTCTATTTCCCAGGCACCCGGGCCTACCGCGGGCAAGTTATTGTTTTGTGTGTGTGTGCGTATATATCTAGTGTGTTGTTGCTATTAGCAATAAACCCTTAGTTATACCAGTAGCTTTTAACTTTATCACCAGCAATCCAAAAGAACCTTTAAATGTTGCTATAAATAAACAGTTAACCTTTGCCTCCCAATCTGAGTCTGTCGCATATTCAGTGCCGGCCACACAACTACCGGATTTATCCCCCCACACCTTTTCGCAACAGGTGATGTTATGATCCTATTCTCCTGCCACACTCTGCCTAACAAAAACTTCACAGTTTGAAAATGAAACATTTGAGTATTAGAAAAATAACAAAACTTAAATAACCTTTAGAGATTTAGCTCTGTCCCCTGTTGGTTGCCTGAATTATAACCCAGCTTTCAGGAGCACGTTTACATTGTGTATTTTTCTCACTCTCTTTACGATTCCCAGCCTTCTTCAAGAACAGGCTTCCACCCCTGGGCAATTATCTTCGCTATCAAGTGAGCAGGCACAGCTGTAAAACGCACTCTAAACCACTACACTAAACCCTCTGCTGGTTAAATCAGTCTAGATATGCAGATCCACAGATAGCCAAAGATCCAGCCCACATTCTGCATAAGAGGACAAGCTACATCAATTCCAAAACCTTCTCCACAATGAGTCAACAAGCTTCCAAATAGATGCATAAGATAACAACTTGGGTCTTTGACAATATTTTAATAAAATTACCAAGGCTGATATGGGGGGGACCTATAGCACAACCAGCTGTCTCCTGAACTGATATACAGAGCTCTTAATTTTTGCCATATGTGAACCAACTGCTTTAGGTACTACCCCTAAGCACCAAAGAGACTCATTTTTATGCAATGAAGACTGCCAAGTTCTGTCATAAATCTTACGGCTTATCTGATCAACATCCAGAAAAGTTAACTGAAGCTTCTTTACATCCAGCCATATATTTTGTAACAAGCTTCCTAGCACAAGGACAAGATAATGATTTTTAATTTTTGTAATACGCTAAGATTGATTCAAGCTGTCAACAGGGTTGTAGTATTCCTCGAGCTTTAACAGGTCCACTGTATATTACACAAGATATTGTCAAACCAGACTGAAACCTATTTAATACGATAGACTTGGTACAGCTGCTTCTTTCAAGGATGCATCACTTTTCTGTCCTTAACAGCAGCATTTGAAGACAAAACAAATTATGCTTTTTTTTTCCCCCAAAATATATTCTGTTGTTCAGATATCTGACACCACGCCACCCTAACTTTTGCATACAATAAGAAGTTGCTGGGTTTCATATGCCTCTGTCAAGTTGCAGCCCTTGAATTTACTACAGTCTAAACTGAAAACAAATCATGTACTGAAACTCTTTGACACCAGGAAAGGTAAAGGTCTTTCTACACTTAGTCTCCACTTAGGATAAAACCACTGAAGTAAACCCCCAAAATATCACCATTTAGGACAACCTTATTTTAAAAGCAAGACAACCTTATAAATGGAAGCATATACCTTCTACTGGCTTGGCAAAAATAAGATAAAATAAAAATAAAATAAGCCATGTATCCCAGTCAAAAATGAAGTCCCAAACTCACTTGAAGAACAACAGAGCACACCTTTCAATTAGATCATATGTGACACATCTTACACCACAAAGTAAACCTGGGAGAACAGAAACCAGAACTAATTATTCAGGTTAACCTAGACCAAGTGCATGAATCCCAACCACCAAGCTCTTACCAATACTTCTGCATCCTCACAACCTCCACACTTCCCTTATGTGCATCTGGAGCCTATTTTATAGCTCTGTGTCTGAAAACATCACGACTTTTTCCATTACTGCGGTTTTGGTTAGTAAAAAGATTAATGTAAGAAGTACTAAGGACTTTCAATGCTTGTGTGCTTTTGGTTGCTTTTGCATTGAAAAGAAATTACCTTTGGTGCTAGCGTGAACTAAAACACAGCTCAAACTCGTTTCTCCTCCAAGGCTGATTTGTTTGGCTTTTCCAGCCAAACAAATGCTAATAGTCAGGTATTCAGAGCACTAATTAATCCAGATATATCCACACTTTAGCAGCTCCTCAGGGCAGCATTTTCAGGGAAACCAATGGATGTTCTCCAGAAACCGCAAAGGAAATTAGGTCTCCTCCTCCACCAGCAGCACCTGCATGAAGCACATTTATCTACATGCACGGAGGCACAGACACAGCTAATGCAGTAAGCAATCTTCTGAAAAATTTTAATTCTCCCATTTCTAGGAACACATCTGCAGTTGTTGCACTTCCCAACTGCTTAGGGGCTGGTTGTTTTGCCAAGACTGTTCATCTGCAGTGGGCCACAAGAGTCCTCAGGAGAAAGCTAAGTGCTGGCCACAGTGGTGTCACAACCTCCCTTGATACAACTCCTGGTTTATTATCCCACTTCACTTCTCTCACCTCCTGCCTTGACTGTCATCTTTCAAGCTATGGGCCACACCAACCTGCCCAGCAAATAGTCTTCTTGTTGGAACAGCTCGTGCTATCCCATTTTTGCTCCACTACAGACAACTCTCCCACTCAGATTCCTGTTTTTTCCATCAGTTACACACCTTCACATGTGCTTTGTAAAAGGGGAGGCTGAAAGGGAACATAGGCCAAGAAGCACTGACAGCCCATCACACTTTCCTCCAAAAAAAGTGTAAGACCAATAGGTCATCAATCCTGAAAGCTGAAAACACAAGAGAAGGAGGAAGCAGATAGTCTTGTGTTACCTGAGGGAGAATATGGCTTTTCTATCCTCCAGAGCTTGATCAGCTGGCTCCAACCCAGCTTTCCTAATCCTTACCAAGTTTCCCCCTGTACCCACAATCACTCCTCCTAAAGCACTACCTGGCGTACCTCTACACCCAATTTCCTGGCAGCAAGCCAGCTCTTCAGCCTACCTGTTCTGCCAGTTCTCCTTTGTGACCTCTCCAAACAAGCACATTCCCTTTCCTGACCTTTGCCTGCACCTCCAGGGTGTCACATTTGGCAGAGTAAAACCATTCTTGACAATGCCTGTGAGGGTAGAAACCTCGATTCAGGAAACATGTGAAGGTGATTTCTTAGGAGCTGTAGCAGGAGAAAACAAAGCCACAAGCTCAGGCACAGGAAAGGTCAAAAACAGCATGTGGTGCCAGGAAAGATGATGCCTTCTCAAGAGGGACAGGAGATCAGGTGTCCCTGGGGGACAGAGCACGAAACAAGACAGCCTTTCAGAGGTGCCACTGCAGACCAAGAGACACTCACCCCTCTCAAGCAAGGAAGGGGAAGTGAGTGGGACAAAGCCTGGAGGAAGCTTTTCTTGTCTTCACAGTAGTTCATACGTCAGAAAATGCTTGACTGTTTAAGGGACATATCCATGTCCCACTCAGCCTACTCCTGGGTGTCCAGTTTGTTTGTGGCTCTCATTAGCCAGGAAGCAGATGGATCCTGGAGACACTTCTCAAAAAAAACCCACCACATACCAAGCAAACAAAACACCTTTAACACCTACCTGTAATGGAGACACTGAGCCCAGGAACTCAAACAATACCTAATCTGAAGTACAGCACCTGAACCACGCACAAAGGAGACACAAAAGCCTCAATTCTATCTACTGACCTACTCCTTTTGTGCAGTATTGCATGGTCAGGCAGAAACCTCTGTGTTAAGGCAGTCAACTTCTGAGACACGAAAGTGGTATTAAACAGAGCAGGAGGTTAAACTAGTACAGCAATTCCTACATTTCTCCTGTGCTCTTACACCATGCTGCAGTTTTTAGTGACAGCTGCCGGTGAAGGTTATAATGTTTTTCCAGCTGAATATTCTGTATTATGATAGCCCTTTTTCTTCCATATTCTTTGGTTTTGGATGATGTATACTATCATAATACAAATGAGAGCTGGAAGAACATTTATTTTCTCTGCCCAATGGTATTTCTCCCACCCTTCACTGTATATTTCAATTCAGTACACATTTTCCAGTCTTCCTGGTTAAAAATAAAGTATTCTTACTTCTCTGTGAGGAGAACAAAAGACTAAAGTGAGAGTTCAGAAAAATAAT